TGTCTGAGTGTCTGTGTGTGTGTCTGAGTGCATGTGTGTGTGTCTGTGTGAGTGTGTCTGTGAATGTGTGTGTGTGTCTGTGAGTGCATGTATGTGTGTGTGTGTGTCAGTGAGTGAGTGTGTCTGTGAATGTGTGTGTGTCTGAGTGTCTGTGTGTGTGTGTCTGTGTGTCTGTGTGAGTGTGTGTCTGTGAATGTGTGTGTCTGTGAGTGTATGTATGTATGTGTGTGAGTGTGTCAGTGAGTGTGTGTGTGTCTGTGAGTGTGTGTCTGTGAATGTGTGTGTCTGTGTGTGTGTGTCTGTGAGTGTATGTATGTGTGTGTGTGTCTGAATGTGTCTGTGAGTGTGTGTGTGTACGCATATATATATATATACACACACACACACACACAGAGCCGGCGCTATCTGAGTGCCAGCTCTGCTCTAAGCCTCCATGGGCCGGCGGGGAGACCAAAGATCTACCTCACCGGCCCACAGCAGCATGGAGGGAGGCAGGAGAGGACCCAGGGAGCTCTAGACAGAAGCTCCGCCAGGTTCCTCTCGCAATATCTGAGTGTTGCTGCGGCAATGCTCAGATCTTGCGAGAGTTAACTCTAGCCCCGCAGGCTAGAGTTCACTCTCCACTGGACCACCAGGGATGGCACATGGCAGCAAGGATTTACTAATCTGCCAAATCCCTCCAAAAAAACAGCACACACACATACAGCACCTACACACATACAGCTCACACACAAACACACACAGCACCTTTAAAAAAAAAAACACAACACCCTCACACACACACACAAACAGCACCCTCACAGGACAAACATACACACACAAACACCCTCACACACAAACAGCAGAGTCACAAACACACACACACACACACACACAAACACCCTCACATCACACTAACAGCACCCTCACACACACATCACACTAACAGCACACACAGCAGTGTATGTGTGTGTGTGTGTGTGTGTGTATGTATCTATATATATATATATATATATATATATATAGATAGATAGACACACACACACACGCGGCGTGTGTTTGTGCTTTAGGGTGCACACCCTAATGCAATAGGCTGCGCACGCCTATGCTTACTAACCTATAGTTGTCTGACTCCTCACTACTATCTTTCTTGTGAACTGCCACTGAATTACATCACATATTTTTTGATTAATGTAATTAAAGTACATCAGAAATTATATTAGAGTAGAATCTGCTTCTCTGTGACGTAGCCTCAGTATAAATAGTATGTCATTACATTCACAAATCTGCTTTTAAATGATCACTCTAAGCACACCTCTCTGTTTCAGGATTTACAACCCATAAATGGTCACTAGGCTGCTACTTTGAGACACCTGCCTTATATTAATTAAATCAAAAACACGACAAGGACTATAAGCACTACAGAGCACTGTAGCTGTATGCTGCAAAAGGTGTTCTAACACCCCCAAACGTTTCTACATTTTTGACAACTGACCAAGGGTCCAACGTTTAACATTCACTTTTTTTATAAAGCCAGAAGCTCTCTGCTCTAAGATAAGCCCAGCCCAGCAGTGCAAAGCTTAGATCATTAGTTGAGAGCTTTTAGCTGTAGGGTTTATCTCACGAGCGCTAGCAAAAGTTCCAAGAAAAGAAGGAGCTTGTGGCACTTACTGGCGGACCAGACCAATGCCTGTTGAATCCCAGTCAAGCAGTCAAACAATTAGCAATCGGATTGACAACTTACACTAGGTGGCATGAAGTGGAATGGAGAACTCAAATATACTTTTACTCCCTTTTGTTCAGCTGTCCGTATGCCCCCGTTCATTTACCGAACCCCCTCGCTGTGTGGCCCCTTGTTCGCACCTTTTAATTACGGACCACCCCTTGCTGTTACCAAAAATTGGTTATTAGTTCAAGTGCTTTTCCTGTGTGGCCGCCGTTCGTATAATCAAACGCAAGTGTTCAAACAATTGGAGGTCATTTTGTCTCCCGAACGCGGGCAGCGGTACATGGTCGTCAACAGCGTGGAACTATTTGTGGATACACGACCCTGCAAACACCCGGGAAACTGGTAAAACTGCCCATTCAACTTCACAAACAGCTAGGAGAATTGCGTTGGGAAACATAAACTACTGAACAGAGGGAGCATTTGTACCCTAACAGCCAGGGAATTGATTCATCAGTGTTCGTGTGAGACAAAGCGAAAGATGGTCAATGCCTTGTTTTCTCTGGAACTGTTTTGGGGCATCACATCGTGGCCGACCGGTCAAAACTTAATTCGAATGGCATTCCCGAACCAACGAAGGGATCGGAGTGATATTTTGGCAAAGTGTGCGCTCAGATCTAAGCTATTTGGTGATATGACTTTCGTGGGGTTCCAAAGTTATTAAAATGTATTTTTGGGGGGTTTAAAATATTGTAGATTTTCCTGTACCTGAGAGATAATTAAATTATAGTTTTTTCTCACGCAATTATCTCTTAGGCACAGAGGATCCTGGGAAGAAAAGCCATGTAATTGTGAATGAGAAACCCCATCCTAGGGGCAATGTATAAAAGCTGTGTGTGGCAGAAATAAAACCAGTTGTACTCCCAGAACTGTGTGTCGTCCAGTTGCTGGGGAGAAGGTAGGATATTTATTTGATGTTTTTCTTGTTCCTGATTATACTCTGGTGAATCCAGTGGAGAAAAGTCCCTGCTAGGACTAGGGCTCCGCTACATGGCATTAGGGTACTCTTGGCATCAAAAGCACTACAGCATGCTGTATATCATGTAAATTAAAATTCACATAGTAATAATGGGAAATAATGCCATGTTTGGGGGTTTGAAGACATTTTAATCCAATCAACCATTGATCTTGTGGTTTATAAATATGTCTCCCATCTATGGCATTATTATCCCAAAATACATACTTCACTGTTATCTATCCTCTATGTTTAGCATTTCTTGTATAGTGCTTCTTTCTATCTATCTAGGAAATTTTTATCTATTTGTACCGATGTCCATATAGTGCCAATTACCATTTCTTATGCTTTTGGGTCAGTTTTCGCTGGAATAGTTTCATTATGGCAGCCTTATCCCACACTGTACAGCAGCCATTTTATGACAAACATCAAGGCTGCAACTCAGCATGAGAGAGGGCTCATACATATCCTCTTGATGTTACATATTTGATAATTATACTGTATGTAGCACAAATTCTACTTCTGCTTTAATGCTAATGTTTCAAATCCTGTAACACTTTTTGGCAACACCGGTCTCAAAGTTATGCTTTAAATGTATTTATTTTTAAATTTAACAACCTCTTCTGACCCTGGCTGAAAAATTGAAAGTTTAGGGATGCTGCGTAATCTCTACACCTTTTAACTTTTAATAATATCAACAAGTAAAATAAAAATATAATTTTTATGTAAAATGTATATGTGTGTGTGTGTGTGCAACTTATACAGGGTATTTATTTTACAAACAAAATGCTATGTTTGTGTGCTAGCTACTAATTCCATTTTTTTTATTTTTTATTAATACAATGCTATTTTATTTAATGTAAAGATGTTGGTAGAGGTAACTGCTGATTTGATAAAGTGTACATCAGGCAGTGGATGAACATTCCAGCATGTCTCTAAGGGGGGGTTCTTAATACATATGACCTATTTATTTTCTTTCCTAAATGCACTATAGTACACCCAATAGATGGGTTGGATTCAATGCATAAAGTAAAAAGTGATTTGGTGTACATTTATGACATTTTCCTTGCCTCCACACCAGCCATCATGAATGTAAGCTCCTTTGTAGCAGGGAACTCAGCTCATTCTGTACCTGTACATCAAACTTGACTTGTTGTTGGTCTCCTTATTGTACAGCGCTTCTGAATTTGTTGGTGCTTTATAAAAAAAAAAAAAAACAATCATAACAATGTAGAGCAATTTACAAATATAAATTATTTCTGTTACGTATACTTCACTTCATAGGTTTGGAAACTAACCTTCCTCACGCTCTGAAGCTGCTTCCCTATTTTTTGTAAAACCGTTTATTGTGTTCAAAATAATTGCACACATCACAAGCAGTACACAATGAAACTGGAATATGACGTGCAGCCATTTTGTAGTGATAGGCATCCCATGAGGTACTGTGGAGAGCCATATAATTTGCACCAGTTTAAACTTTGTCAAATTTGTGAAGTTTTACAGTTAGAAAAATAACACTTAAGGAGTGGCAGTCGTGTAAGACCACCTAGCCACCCTATACCGATATACATTTCTCCTTTCTGAAGAATTCCCCTCACTCAGCAGTTTACATTGCATTTTTATTTGCATACAAGTTGATAAATATTAAGTGATGCTATGGGATTGGCTGGGGTCAAACCAACCAGCCAATCACAGTGTCTGATAGAGCGGGACTATTGAAATGTACGGATCAGAACGCTGCATTAAAAAGCATACAAAGTATCAGTGCGCATGGAATCTTCACGTACTCTATAGGAAGGAGAATAAAAGCTATCACTGAATGACATAGCGACCGTTATATACCCGCCCTGAAGAACACCATAAACGTTGCGACCTTAATCAGAAGGTCCAAAATAATAATCAGCTGATCTGATAGCTGACTCTGAAATGGCCGTGTACATACATGGACACTAAGGGCTGCTTAAAGGCTGCCTGAGCATAATAGGAAAGGGAGTTAAATCAGATTTTTAGAACAACCCAGGTTAATCTTATCTGTTGTGTGCACTTACCTGCAGCCCGTGACAGCAAGTGTTAAGGCTCTCTAGCTGCTCCTTTCCTGACAATCTATTACTGTCTCTCCCTAGCAACAGCATCACTCCCATCACCCTAGCCCGCCTACTCCCAATCAGAGCATTGTTGTATGGCTGGAGATTGAATCAGTGGGTGGTGTCGGTGAGGAGAGCATTACGCCGGGTGGGGGCAGAACCCAAGCCCCATGCAGCTTCCAATGAAAAGCATACAGATCAGTCGACATGCCAGCTGGGCGTTTTCTTCCCAAGGGCACAGAGATGGGCAGACATACAATGACACCAGGAGGAGGAAGGTGCCAGGATTAGGTGAAATCTGCACTAGAGCTGAAAACCATAAACCTGAAAGAGTAAAGGTAACTAGACATGTATCAGGAACTGTATCTAGAAGTGTCAGAACTCATAGAGGCTGCAGTGCAGTATCTCCTCCACTCATTGCTCTGGAAAGTCCCTATGACTGGAGACGAACCGTTAAACAAAAACAAGCTGAAGTAGTTTCCTAAGGCTGCCTAATGAGAAGAATGGCTTCCTGGTTGTGATATTTACATAGACTAGTCACTCCATGGCCTATCATGATATTTACACCAGGGGTGATCCTTGCAGAACTTCAACTCTCAACTTAAGCTGGCAAAGCATCATGGGAGTCGTAGTTCTAAACCAGCTGGAGATTTGCCTTTCCGGGCAGCACAGGTCTATTGCACTGATCTGATCTACCCTTTGTACAGCGCTACGGAATCTGATGGCGCTATATAAATAATAAAATAATAGTAATTATAATCACAGAGACACATTTAATATATTATTTCACATATAAACACTGACGAATCCACACTAATTGTGTTTAGTTTGGGAAATGCATGAAGGACACCTTATAAATAATTTACCTTTGTATTGATCCTGGTTTATTACTGCTTCATACTTCATGTGATCCATAGCTTTTTTTTTTTCAGTGATAAATAAATAATGACGTATATCTAAATGCTTTAAGTCTGCCTGTTGGTATTTAGAGATAGAGATAGCTCTCTCATCCAACTATATTGGATTGTGTGTGATAAAATACATACACACATGCACATACACAACAAACTATAATATTTTTAATTTTTTGCATTTTTTAAAGAGATGTTTCGACTAAATAAACTCAGACCTAAATCCAATCAGTCAAACCAATAATAACGCTGGGTCATTTATTATGGCCCATACTTTGGATCTATACAATACATTCATAATACATCAGCTCAAGTTCCCTACTAAAACTTGCAATTTTCCCTCGAATAGTAACAGAATTCGGAAGCAATGAAAATTAAAAAATAAAAATAGCAAAACAATACATACAAACGTTTAAACCAATGATTTATTTATTTTTTTGTCAATCAAAATTTGTATTGAGGCATTAAGCGTATAAACAAGGTATACAATGGTGACATTAACAATTGCAATTAGAGGCTCGATCAAAGCTGATGGACTCAGAAAGAGAATATAGAATATAGTATTTCACACCGAGAATTTCCAGGCCTCATTTTATATTTAAGGAAAACAAAAAGTAAATTACACAGTGCATTGAGGTTAAAACAAAATATTGAGGTTAAAACTAAAAAGATAATGTGACACAAAGCTACAACAATGATTCAGCTAATATTATATACTGTGAAAGTGTGTGTGTGAGTGTTTGTGTGTGTATTAAATATACACCCATATTAGAATATTGATGGTCACACTAGATTTTCTTATTATCTGAATTATATTGTGAGTGCATAAAAAAAAACATTTAAGCAATCAAAAAAAATATATAATAAAAAAATTAAAAAACAGAATGGCACGATGACATTGTATAATGACGGGGACTAGGGCATGTCACTGGCATATTAACAATTGTCCCACTAAAATGAAATGCATGCAGTTTTACCTCTGTATAACCCTGCGGAATGTGTTGGTGCGTTAAGAATGTAAAATAAATAATACAAATAATATTAATAAATAATAATAATACAGCCATAAAATAAAATTTAAAAAGTAAAATTGAGAATAGAATGCCATTTGAGTTTTATAGAACTCCGTGCAGTCAATTATAACAAATTGATCAGAAATATCTACATTTTCAACAAAGTTTTTCAATGTGTTGAAAATAATTGTATATATACACAGCCGACAAATCTTATTCATCGAAACATGGTCCCTTCTTATATTTAATTGAATAATCATTGCGATCCTCTGACGTGTATAGGGACCATATATTAATTTATGACAAATACATTGCATTAAACTAATGAGGCGATTATCTAAATATGATGTCAGTCATCAACATTTAAATCACAGATTGAATGAAAAATAAAATTTCAATCCAAAGGCAAGTTGGGGATATTTTTTATCACTTCAGCTATTTATTTTTGGCCTAGAATTTACCAGTAGGCTCTAGAGTTTCACAATTCTCAGTTTACGCCCTCCCTTCCCCATATTCCTAATATACATAGTATATCTAATAAAGAGAGGGATTGAACGAGTGTGTGTGTGTTAACCACTTCATGACCATGGTTGCACTGTGTTGTTCGCCCTAAAAGGGTTAAAGTGACCAAGTGACAGGTTTGGCCCACAGTGTTGGTCAGGAGGTGTAGCACTGAAGAAAGGCCCTTACATGTCTCTATAGTTTCACAGACATCAGGACAATGAGCTGAGGTCAGTGGAAAGCGGTTAAGTGCTGGAAAATCCCTTCCTAGATTGCTCACAGCAACATCTGCACTTTTTACATTTACAGTCTCATTTGTTCTTTTGAATACATGTAGCAATAATTCTTTTCAGTTAGAGTCTTTCGAAATGAAACAACACAAACTACTGATGTAAAGCAGGATTAAAGAAAACACACTGATGTAATAAAATGAAAGCATTAAAAAACAAAAAACAAATCACATTGATGCAATATATTTATCACAACTTTTTTCAATTGACTATAATTTGATTGCTTGCCCCAATAATGTCGCATCAGTCGGGGCTTTGGCAAAAAAGAAAAAAAAAATAGTTTTCACGTTTTCCCAATTATACAACATATTATTGTGCCTTTTCAAACGATTACTCAAAGGGTTGACATTCCTAACAATGTATGCCAGCCAATATGTATTAACCTTTAAAATGCCACAGTCATGCAATACTATGAACTACTCTGGAGTCAGTATTATGTGATACAAGGTGTTAAGGAGATCTATTAATGCAAAGTATCTGGAAAGGCCAGGACTATGGGGGGCTTGATAACAATGTTCCTTCTTGTTTCAGGGGCCATTGTGTGGATCTCAAGAGTGAGAAAGCTCAAGAAGCAAAGTTTAATATATTGATTCTTTATAACTTCAGGGAAAATTGTTATTGCCACCAGTACAGTAAGTGTTTTGTATAAAGTACAGAACACGGAAATACCAAGTCAAATTACAGAATCCCAATGGCCTACTACACCATGCTGAACAAGAATATTCAAGCCATCACTCAGAGATTCTCACTTGTTACCTTCATCATCGTCTCCAATCACATTTAAAATATAAGGAGCTTAGTGCAGGAAATGGCAACCTGGAGAGCGTGTACGTACACATTTCACCATCGCACAGATATATTTAAATTTACATATTATCTGCATGCAATAATGTTTGTATGACGACATTTTAATTCCTTTCCCCCACCACTTTAATAGCAATCCGATTTAAATGGTTTTTTTTTTATTTCATCGTGATTCATTAGAAGAAATTAAGCAATAACTGAGGCCTCGCTTTATTATTTTTGTATAAGTTTTTTCAAATTGTTTATTGTTTTTCGATTTTTAAAAAGTATGTAATAATTTGAAACTATTTTAATACATATCTTTTTAATATTTTTACATTTTCACGTATAATATATTTTTATATTTTAATTTAAAAAAAAAAAGCCAAACACAAACTGTTTTAAAGTATTATCCAAAATGTGACATAATTTCAACAGCGTATCCAGAAATAGTAAATCGAGGTTTGAGTTGGAGAATTTGTCCAAATCAGCCATTAGTGCGGAATTTCAGTATAAGTAGTCAAACTGCTAACTTATTTTGATATGGCCATTTGATTTGTCTACGTACTTGTTACTTATACATCAGATAATTATTATGTATCTGGTATTTTATTTCATTTGTGTGTTTTTGGTGGCTTTTTATTACAGGTCTTGTATGACACCTTGCCCTTCATAATGCAATTTATCTACTTGTGATCCTAAAACAATTTAACCTACTCCTGTTACCCACTTTACTGAATACATACAGATACATTTCGCTTAATATAGTAACATCAACGTATTTATGAGTACTGATGTATGGGGTATATACTGCGTATACTATATAGTTATTTAAATTACTGTCTGGGAAGACAAATCCATGGTATATTTGCATTACTTGCATATTCGCTTTTTTTTTTTAATTTCTTTTCGCAAACTGAACATTTTCGTGAGTACGCAATATAACAATCTGCATGTGATAGAGTTATGATCTGCATCGTTTTTTTATTCTAAAAAAATATACATTATGTGTCCCTATGTTTGAGTGAACAATAAATGCAGAAATTACATGACAAGCAAACTTTATGTTAAATTCCTAGGGGTAGGAATATGTAGCTCAGCAAATGCCATTGCAAAAAAAAAGTCAGAGATCATGTAAATAAATATAGAAAAATAAATATGATAATATTGCAAAAATGAGACACGCATAAACAACAGTTACTAGAAGTTTAAGAAGTATTACTAATACTGATTATATACAGGGTCTACCCAAAAATATATACACACTACGAATGCTTAAAAAGTCAGTGTTTATAACATACCAGAAAGGTCATCATTTTGAAAACAGCTATTGATAAAAAAAATATATATATATTAATTTCTGTAGTTTGTTTTAAATTCTGAAAATGAATTATAAAATTATAATCGTTCAAAGTGTGTATACATATTCTCTTTGGGGAGGGGAGGAGAATTTAGTTAGTGAAGTGTTTTGCTAGCTCTTTGGATTACTGCAACTAGTTTTGATAACCAGTATTGAAGTCGTACAGGAACAGACTGGGAATATTATGAACTGACATTAATACGTTAATTTTTTGCAGGAAAGCTGCGTTTTCTTGAGTCTACATAAAAAATGCTGAAGACCAAAAGTAACCGTAATTGATTTTAACTGATCACTAAAAGCACGGACTGTCTATAATGTAAGTGTGGATTATGTGACGATCACACGCAATGTGGGAAATCTTGTGACTAATAGATGTGTAAATATAACTACAAATTAGCAAGTGCTACGTGGTGAGGTATGTACAGAAAAGACCAGTAAGCGTTAATTTCGAGATAAGGGAAAAGCAGAGAGAGAGAGAGCAGAATTAGTAAGTAAAAAGACAATAGGATTTACTCCTAAAATCGCATTTAATTGAAAAAGCTGTGAACATTCTTCCACTCGGCTACACTGATAGTGACTATATTAGACTACATTTTACAATTTGACTACTAATTACAGTAACAATTTGGACCCCAATGGAGCTATTCACTGAACCAATAACTGTGAAGAATTGTCAAGGGAATTGTACATTTTAGGCGACACTATTTATCTGGAATTATTTTGTAACTGTATTTCTGTATTTTAGGTTCTTCTATTTCTGGCCTTACGCTGCACTTCTCTCATCAATTCTTCAGTTGTTTATTTATTGACTCAGCCCCAGTGATATCACATAAGTGGAGCGGTAAAGGTCAATCCCAGCATTGTTTCTTTTTAAACATGGTTAATTTATTGCAAAACATTTGTTACAGTATTTTGCTGGTATTTACTTGCTATTCATTTTATGACAAGATAGAAAAGAAGTATGAAATGATGAAGTATAGACGTAAAGGGATACTATAGTCACCAGAACATCTACAGCTTAAGTAGTTGCTCTGCTGAGTGTAGTCAGTTCTGGTGGGCATTTTGCTCTAGGTCTTTTCAGAGAAAATGCAGTGTTTTCATTACAGCCTAGGAACACCTCCACTGGCCACTGGTCAGATGGCTACTAGAGGTACTTCCTGGAGCAGTGCTGCGCAATCTGCTGCACTGCCATTCAGTGTCTTCACCCTCTGCATGGAGACACTGAACTTTCCTCATAGATATGCATTAATTCCACTCATCTCTATGAGGAGATGCTGATTGGCCAGGGTGGCATTTGGCACCACCCCTGGTCCACCTACTTGGCTGAGATCATCAGAATTAACAATCTCACATTTCACAAATTCCTATGGGAAATCATTGTGATTCGCTAAGATCATCGTTTCTGATCATGCCAGCCAAGGAGGCATATCGGGGCAGAGCAAGCCGGCTGACGAGGGTCATCAGAGCTGGACTGAGGTAAGTGACATAAGTGGTTTTTAACCCGAGGGAAGGGGAAGCTATAGTGCCAGGAAAACAACTTTGTTTTCCTGGCACTATAGTTTCTCTTTAAAGAAAGAGTTAGTCTAACAAACTCCCTTCTCTGGTGTTCGGTTGTCCGTGACCCTCATTCGTCTCACGAACGGATTGTGTATGGTCCCCCCTTGTTATACCTTTCGAACGCTGACCTCCCATGGCTGTTAACCACAAATTGTTGATTAACCTGAGTGCTTCCCTGTGTGGCCGCCATTCGTATATCCGAACGCATATGGTCCACTGCAGGGTGGCCAGTTTGTCTCCAAAATGCTGGCAGTGGTACCTGGTCGTTGAATGCCTGGAACTATTTTCGGCCTTGCGTTTCCGCAAACCCGGGCAAATATGGTACCTCTGACCCTCCCACTTCCCGACTAACTAGACGAACGGTGTTTGGGAGATAGGATCTATTGAACAGGGGGAGCAATTGCCCCCTAACAGCCAGGGGGAGCATTCATAGGTGTTCATATGAAAACCCCCTAAAGATTACTGGTTGTTGCCTTGTTTTCTATGGAACTATTTTGGGGCATCAACTCGTGGCCGACCAGTCAAAACTTCATGCAAATGGCGTTCCCGAAACCCCAAAGGGATCTGAGCACTTTTTTTGACAAAGTGGGCGCTCAGACCCATGCAATTTGGTGATATGGCTTTTGTGGGGTTCCTATGTTATTAAAATGTATTTTTAATGATGTTTTATAATATTGTATATGTTTCCTGTATCTGAGAGATAATTGAGTTGTAGTTTTCTCATGCAGTTATCTCTCAGAAATAGAGACTCCTGGGAGGAAAACCCTTTAATTCTTGATGTGGAGACCCCATGCTAGGGGTCAGTGCATACAAGCACTGACCAGAATGTGTGTGGCCAGAATAAAATCAGTTGTACTCCCAAAACTGTGTCATCCAGGTGGGCTTTCTTGTTCCTGAATTCCTGATCAAAGCAGAGGGAGAGTCCTGGTGAGGACAGTTAGCATAGTAAAAATAGCTGTGAAGCTATAATGCAGGACAATTTCAGGGAAAAGGCAGTGTTTACATTACTGCCTAGGAACCCCTGCAGTGGCAGTCACTCAGACTGCCACTAAAGGAGATTCCTGGGTCAGTACTCCACAATTCCCATAGAGATGCATTGATGCTTGATAAACATTTAATTGGCTGAGAATGTAAAGTTTGATGATCTCAGCCAACGGGGCAGAGCATGGGTGGGGCCAGCCACTACCTGACCCGTGAGGCGGGCCGAGGGCACTAAACAGCTATTTAGACATATAATGTCAGGAATAAACATTTGTATTCCTGACACTATAGTGTTCCTTTAAGCTAAAGTTGTTTTGGTGGTTAGAGTGTCCCTTTAACACTAGAGTAGATGAATTGAAAGCATAGCTGACTTAGAGACTTGTTTTCAGTTTATTTTGACATTAAATTCGAAATTTACTCTGAATTCACTTTGAATTCTTACTAGGAAGCATCGATTGGCGGAGGTACCCAGTTGGAGTGCCAGACGGTCCATCACATAAGTAATTTATAATAATTTCAGTATCATTTCTACATCTTTTAAATATGGCCCATGTATTAATTTAACATTTCAATTTTGGGATTATGGAGCTGTGTATAAAAAGCTATGTGATTATTTTTTAGGCTGTTTTTCTGGCTATTTCCATTTGTGCCTGTTTATTCCCTTATTTGCACCCAAACATATTTTACTACACCCCTTTAGTTACTTCATTTCCCTGTTTCATCTGGTTCCTTTTTTAAGTTCACAAATATGTAGTTTCTAATGTATAAAAAAAACTTTCAAAAGTTAAAAAGTTTGCCTTTTCTTCTTACAGATCCAAATTATTTTCTTTTTTCTTTCTCCCTAGTAATCATTTAGTGACTGTAACCAGGGCCGGACTGGGGATACAAAGCAGCACTGGAAAAAAAATTTGTGCCAGCCCCATAAGTCACTGCGCCATATATTGTCGCGTGTAATATGTAAGGCTATGTCTTGCCAGGACAGATGATTGAGTAATATATATATATATATATATATATATATATATATATTGCTTTTTCTAATATAAAATATTGGTCCTTCAGGGTAAAACGTTTAATTATACAGTAAGCATACGCACATGCAGACACAGGCAATTTCACTGACATTTCAGTGACACACACAAGCTCATTGATACACAGCCTCACAGACAAACAATCTTACTGATATACATCAGCTCATTGACATAAAAACACAAGCTCACTCACTAGCAGGCACACGCATGCAAGCAAGCTCACTCACTAGCAGACGCACACACACAGCTTAATGTGGTGGAACTGGTGTCTATAGCATGTCCCTACAGGCTTTTCAATGTAAACACTGACTTTTCAGTGAAAAGGCAGTGCTTACATTGCTTCAAAGTGACACTGCTAGTGACAGTCACTTAAACGGTCACTAGAGGTGCTTCCTGTGTTAGTGCACCTACATTCAGGGCCTCCACACTCTGTAGGTGTTGAACGTTCCTCATAGAGATACATTGATTCAATGCATTCCTATGAGGAGATGCTGATTGGAGTGGCGTTTTGCAGCCAATCCTATGGCAAAGCATTGGATTGGCTGAGATCATCAAGCTTGATGATCTCAGCTATAGAGGCAGGGCCAGTCGAGGGGAGACCAGCACGCTGCGTGGGAAAAAAAAAAGGTGAGCAAAAACACTATTTTTAAACACACATTTACACCATGACAGACACAGAAACACACATATACCATGACAGATACACACCCCATGACAGACACACACACACCATGACACAGAAAGACACACACACACCATGACGGACGGACAGATAGACACACACACACACACACACACCATACAGACAGACACCATGACACAGACAGACAGACACCATGACACAGACAGACAGACACACACACACACCATACAGACAGACAGACACCATGACACAGACAGACACACACACATACCATACAGACAGACAGACACCATGACACAGACAGACAGACAGACACACACACCATACAGACAGACATACACATTACTTATACCTGCCAGGGGGCCTTTTACCGCTGGTGAGGTCTTCTGGGGGCATCTGGGGGACATGTCCTGTCGGCCGCTGGGGAGGTCTTCTGGCGGCCGCTGGCGGACTTGTCCTGGCGGCAGCTGGGGGAGCTGCGCTGGCTCTGCCCTCCCGCCCTCGCGCGCTGCTGAATGAGACCGGCGCCGGAATATGACGTCATATTCCGGCGCCGGTCTCATTCATCTGCGCGCTGGGGAGCAGAGCCTGCGCAGCTCGCGCAGCTGCCCCAGCGGCCGCCAAGACAAGTCTGCCAGCGGCCACCAGAAGACCTCCCCAGCGGCCGACAGCAGACCCAGGTGTCTGCCCGGCCCCAGGTGCCGACAGCCCACCGGGAAATTTCCCGGTATCCCGGTGGGCCAGTCCGGCCCTGACTGTAACCAATTATAAAATAATGAGGAGCAAAAATCTGAATGAGGAATTGGAAGAAAGATGGATTACTTTGTCACACAAAAAGTAGAATAAAAGTCACCAATATTCAAAGGGTGCAGTAACCATTTTATAGATTACAAAATGGTGCTTATGCACAAAACTTACCCAAATATTGAAGAAAATGCATCAGCATTTACTTAAAAAAGATACATTGAGTCATAGTGTCTTCATGCAGAGTGTTCAGAAAAGGAAGCATTTACACTCCTGACCCTGCAAAGATGGCTCTTTGCCCTAGAGCCATTACATTAATCTGTAGTGGTTTTGGTGCATATCACAGAGTTTGCAGGAATCTATGATCTGCAAACTTTCTTTGTCTTAGGGATGAGCATAACCATCTAGCAAAGCTAGTGGGTGTGCGGAAGCATCCCGGAGATAATTGCTGCCGCATACCCACTAGTGCTGTGATGCCCCTGCACAGCAGCAGCATTTCAGCCAATCAGATACTCAGGACAGCCATGCTAAGTGCAGGAGCCCTGATTACCTCAGATTTTTCAAAATCTGAGGTAATCAGAACTCCCATCCCCTGATGGCTAGCTCAACCAACCAAAGCACTGAGTATTTATAACCCATTAACAAAGATAAAAATATAATAACAACTGCAGTTTAAAACACCCCAAATTTAATCAAGGTTGAACAGTAGAAACCATAGGAAGCAAGGTCTTACTGATCCTGAAAACATTGAAAACGATCTTTGAGGCCATTTTCTTTTACCTTCACAGTCAATCAGAAAACATCTGTCTCTCCATCAGGTACACAATACTGAAACTGAGAGTACAAAAAGTAATACTTTAACTATCTATCTCTTAAGATTTTTAAAAATAAGGTGAGGGGACCCACACTTGGTTGTGCAGGTTTTGTCTATGTCTTTGCCCTTTGTAGGAATAGTGTTAGATATAACTTAAGATATTTAGATATATTACAGATGGAAAATCGAATATGGTTCTTATCTATGAATTATTTGTGTTGTATGGCTGGATGTCTTTGTTACCTATGTGAAAATTTAATAAAGAACAATTTGAAAAAAAAAAAAAAAAAGAAAGTGAATCTTTAAAGGTATATTTATTACTGGTGGATTGGCACCTTCTAAGTTTGTTTTAGTTTCCATTTATATAGTAGCGCTACACCGTTGGATATATTAGAACTTGTGGTGTGTATTTGAAAAGATAAACACATGGTGACACAGGAGCTGATTGGACTACTTATATATTCGTACTACATGTGGATAATACGGATAAAAATTATCGCTAGTGCACTATAATTTTGTATTGTATTCTAAGGTTACAAATATACCAAAAAGAAAACAACCAGTGACCCCATACAAGGTTAGTGAAACTGAAGTAAACCTAAACATATGTAAAAGATACCAATACTACACATACATATATTTAATAGCATATAAAGAAAACATATACAAGGAACATGACTTATTAAAACTACACAAAGTTAAACAGATAACAAGGAAACAATGTATCAGTGTCAAAACTACACTAAAACTGCTACACAATAAATTGCAACAGAAGAATATTTTGTAAAATTAAGGAAGCAAAATGTAACACGTCTCTGACAGCTGGTTCTTGAATGCATGGCACACATATAACTTCCAATTTATATACACGACTAGCATACAATCTTCTTACTGAGGTGGGTGTTTAATCCTGTCTAGGAGTGTGGTTGTAATCTGTAAAAAAAATAGAAATAGATAAGGAATGGACCGAAAAAACCACAAGATAAACTTAACATCTTGAGAAAGCAAAACTACCACTAACAGGCAAAACCCTAATACTAAGGGAGTGTGGGACAGACGCTATTGCTCAGTGGTTATGCTGATCACTAAGGCAAAATAAGTTTGCAAATCATAGATTCCATAGATTGCTGCAAACTCTGCTTTGACCACTGGGAGTAATAATCACCTAGCAAAGATAGTGGGTAGTAGAGCACACAACTGGTGGTGGTCCAAAGAAATTTAAGGTGTCAAACTTCTGATGGTCTACAAGGTTTTACTGGACGACCATTTTGCAGCTTTCAACATAATAGGGAGGAGAAGACCCTTTACTGCTGCTTTAGTAGCGGAGACACACCCTGATAGTGTGACCATTAAAAAAAAGAAATGTCAAGACCAGCCAAAGATATAGGTCTATCAAATTCCTCTTATCGTGTTCTGGGCTATAAACGCACCCCAACCGTGATTTGATAAAATTTTCTAGAACTGGACCAGGTTTGAAAAGATGAATGAGCAAATGGTCTAGAAGATGAAGGAGAAGGACTATCTAGCCCCCAATGAGATTTGTCCTTTTTCTCTGAAAGGGGCTTCTGGTGCTCAATACCCTCTTACCCTTATTGCATCTAGTCCCTTTAATTTTTCACTTACTCAAACAAGTATGAGGGGAAGGAGTATGAAATAAATGATTCTCAGATATGGAACTGGTGGAAGAAAGCAGGCTTCTTTGCATATTCCGCCTTTTATGTGGAACTGGGACAATAGTGGATTTTCACTCACACTTTGCAGAGCCACATATAGTAGGCTCTGACTATAGTTGCTCTTTAATAATTCCCTGGTATGCTTAACTCCACCACGTCTCCAGAACTCTCCACTTGTGCCAGGATACAGGAGATGTAATAATTCCAATAAAGAGTGGGGATACTTTTCAAAATTTAATAGCATTAACAAATAAACAGGGACATATATAAAGTGCATAAAAAATAAGAATAGCAGCACTAACGCGTTTCGACTAAAGTAAAGTCTTTTTCAAAGTGCATAAAACAATAGTCACCATGTTGGATATTTATATCTTCACTTGTGTTCAATTTTGGCGCCAAAACAACTCTGTTGTGATGTCCTCCTCCTACTTCCTGGTTCCGCCGGACGGCTTCCGTGTTCCTGCCCTCGTTTACGTCACGTTGCGTCTGACGTCAGACATTTTTTTCGCCGAACCGGAAGTGCTTCATACTGGGTCATTGAGGTCGTCGCAGCCATATTTGAACAGTCTTAAGTTATATAGTTTACATGGGACTGTCCTGGCAATGTGTGTCCTTCAAATAAAAGTTCCTCTCATCCTTAAACTCTTATATTTATAATCATTATAACAATACACTTGTATATCTAGAATAATTTTATAAATAAAAATATAATTAATAACATATGTATATTAATTAAAAGAAAAGAGATAAAGAAAACGGAAAAAAAGAGATTTAAAGAGAAGAGAAACAACAGGACGATGATATTGCACCTTATATAGGGGATAAACCAAAAATTATATATAGGGGGGCTCAGAATCTTAAACAGATTTTAACCTCTAGTTTTATTGAAAAAAACGACAATAATTTTTTAAATAGCCAGAAGGCTTTATTAAAAGGTTTTAATTTTTGTGGTAATTGTATGGGGTGTAGAACATTTAAAGCAAAAGAAAGGAAGATGTTGTCCTTCCACTCCAATGTTAATTCGAAAGAATATAAGATAGATAATTTTATCTCTTGCAAGACCAAAAATGTAGTATATGTGTTAGAGTGCCCTTGTGGCCTACAATACGTGGGCAAAACATCTAGGTGTGTGGCCACAAGGGTCCGGGAACACATATATAACATTAAAAAAGGATTTAAAACACATAGTGTTTCCTTACATTTTTTAGAACATCATGACCAAGATCCAAGTGGAATAAAATTTTATGGAATCCAAGTAGTTACTAAACATTGGAGAGGGGGTGACATTAATTCACACTTAAGTAAATGTGAAATGGGTTGGATTTTTAATTTAGATACACTATCACCTAAAGGTCTCAACATGGAGTTTGAGATGAGTGTACTTATTTAACATTTTTATGTTTTATATACATATATTTTTTATCAATATATGATCAATTATTTATACGTTTTTAATGCAAGTTTTTTATTACATTGTTTTTACAGGTTTTAGATTGATTATGTGGTCTTTCTCTTTAAATCTCTTTTTTTCCGTTTTCTTTATCTCTTTTCTTTTAATTAATATACATATGTTATTAATTATATTTTTATTTATAAAATTATTCTAGATATACAAGTGTATTGTTATAATGATTATAAATATAAGAGTTTAAGGATGAGAGGAACTTTTATTTGAAGGACACACATTGCCAGGACAGTCCCATGTAAACTATATAACTTAAGACTGTTCAAATATGGCTGCGACGACCTCAATGACCCAGTATGAAGCACTTCCGGTTCGGCGAAAAAAATGTCTGACGTCAGACGCAACGTGACGTAAACGAGGGCAGGAACACGGAAGCCGTCCGGCGGAACCAGGAAGTAGGAGGAGGACATCACAACAGAGTTGTTTTGGCGCCAAAATTGAACACAAGTGAAGATATAAATATCCAACATGGTGACTATTGTTTTATGCACTTTGAAAAAGACTTTACTTTAGTCGAAACGCGTTAGTGCTGCTATTCTTATTTTTTATGCATTTTATATATGTCCCTGTTTATTTGTTAATGCTATTAAATTTTGAAAAGTATCCCCACTCTTTTTTGGAATTATTACATCTCCTGTATCCTGGCACAAGTGGAGAGTTCTGGAGACGTGGTGGAGTTAAGCATACCAGGGAATTATTAAAGAGCAATTACAGTCAGAGCCTACTATATGTGGCTCTGCAAAGTGTGAGTGAAAATCCACATTTATTTACTATATTATTTGGTCAAACAGTATTATGCTATGTTTGGATCTTTTTGTATATAGGTTACATTTAAAGGACTGACCAGTGTCTCTAAGTATACCATATACATTTGTATTTGCACTCCTCTATCTCTATTCTTTACTTAGAAATATTTCTTACTGAATTGAATCAGTTTGCCTCTCAGTAGTCTGATTTTGGCTCACTGTGTCCTATGTCAAGAAGTCTCCATGCAGCCAAAGTGTGCATTACACCATAGTCCTGGTGCTATGTGAAAACTGCATTGGCATTTAATTCCTGTTCAGCACAATGCTCGAGCACCAAATTGTGATAATACTTTAATATGTATACAAGTGCTAGTGTTACCTGCACCAAAAAGGGCATTTCTATCATAGCATTCCATTGAGACTGATATTGTAAAATAAAATGTGTTCAAATAAAGTAAGAAGATGGGTATATAAATAGATCACCATCATCATAAAACTTAATATATACAACTTGTATAATAATGTGTACATATATTGATTGTGGGAGCCCTCCAGAGTATATCACAGATAAGGAGTCACTGAAAATATTAAAATAAACTACACATATTATAATACAGTATAATACACAAAAATATGGATGGTATAAATATGCACTCAAAAGGACGAGAGATTTTCAGGCTTTCCCCCCCCCAACTGTGGTGTAACTGCATAACTGTTTTCTTCAGAGATCAGGGTACAAGACATAAGATAGAACAAGGCACATCACCACATCCTTTGGATCACATAACAAGGACACAAAGAAACTTCTCAGATTGGAAACTCCACAAGGTCAGCAAGTATAACCAAAATACAAAGTAATAGGGGCAGAGGGGCTGTGGGGGCAGAGGTGTCAGGGAGCTGCGGGCGGCGAGGAGGGGAGGCTGCACGCCACTTGCAGCACTCACCCTCAGTCCATCGCCGCCCGCGGTCTCCTCTCTGCTTACCTGTCGGCGAGCGGCGTCTCCTCTGTGCCGCTCGCCGCCAGCGTCCTCTACGCCCCCCAGCGGCAGCATGTATAACGCTGCACGCTGGGAGGTCCAGGAGTTAAGTAAACGCCGGGGTCACGTGAGTGACCCGGCGTTAAAGAAACAGTACCACAATCACAGTGGGGGTATAGATATCCCCCACGTGTGATTGTTAATTCTGATTGGAAGTTATCCAATCAGAATTAAACCTAGGGTATTTATACTTACCTTTCCTGTCCCTCAGTGCCCTGTTGTGGTCTTGTGATACCTGTAGCGTAGTGTTCTCGTCTTGCTCTCTGGTTACTGATTATTTTGCTCGTTATTCCGATTATCCTGT